GGCCGGGGAGGGCGGGGGCTCGCCGAGGGGCTGGCACCAGCACGGCGGGTGTGTGCCACCACGGGAGCCTCGGCACAGCCACCTCCCGTGGACAGGGACGCCCACGTCCCTGCAATCCGGCTGCAGGTCCCAGTGCTGCACAGTTGCCTTTGGCTTCACCAGTTCAGCAGACTGGGTGGCACTGGTGACACCAGGGAGCTGCCAGCTGCTCCTTCACCGCAGCAAGACAGGGAGGGGACATGGCCATGGGGACCCAGCACCCAACGCACCTCTCTTGAAGGACTTCAGCGCCCGCTGGCTGGTGCCCAGGGCTGCCCGCAGGCGCTGCCGCTCCCCCTGCCCGGTCTCCAGCTGCAGTGGGACAAGCCCCCGCTCAGCCCCGGGCTCAACCGGGGGGGACCCGCCATGCCCAGCCCACCCCCCCTCTGTGACATCAGGGAGATGGTGAGGGGCTGCAGAGGGGGATCTTCCCTCCCAAAAAAGCTGTCCTGAGCTTGGTAAGGAGCGTCAAGGATGAGCAGGAGCCCAGGAAGGAGAGGAACAGGGAGGCTGATGAAGGAGGACCCTGCCCCGGGGAGGGGGTCCTGCTTGGCCAGGGCATCCCAGTGCGGGGTCCCAGGAGGTACCTGGTCCTGCAGGTCCTGGTTCTGCCTCTGCAGTTCCTGGACCTGGATGGTGAGGTCCTTCCGCTGTGCCAGCAGCCAGGAGATCTTCTCCTGCAGATCTGGGAGCAAAGGGGGTAGTGAGGGGTGAGAAAGGCGGAGGAAGCAGTGAGAAGAGGAGCACAGTCCTCCCAGAGCTGGTCCCTGAGGACCAGGCTGGTGGGGCTACAGCAACCCCCACCCCAGCTCAACCCTGTCCTGGCCGTGTCACCAGTGACCCTCTTGGAAGCTGGTTCTGGGAGGTGACCCAGAGGGACAGACACGTGGCAATGGGGTGGAATAGCAACCCACAGGACAGCAGGGGCCATACTCAGCACCCTTCTGCCCTCCCCCAAAGCTGCTGAGCATCCCCCAAGGGTCAGCCCACGGGCAAAATCACATTACCTGCACGTGGGGGTTTGGCTGGGGTGGGCCATTCCCCCTGAGGGGTACCACCCCCCCGAAGGGTGCATCCTCCCCTAGAAGTGCATCTCCCTGATCAGCGCATCCCCCAAAGGGGTGCAATCCCTGCGAGGGGTGCATCCCCCCGAGCAGCACGTCTCTCCGAAGGGGTGCATCCCTCCTCCCACGGGCTGCGTCCCCCACATCTCCCCGGTACTGACAAGCAGATCCGCAAACTCAGCCGAAATTGCCAGCATGGGAAAACAGGATGGGAAAGGAGGAAGTGTGAGCAGCAACACTTTCATTTCACCTTTTTAGTTTGGTTTTAGTATCGCTTTAGTATTGCTTTCTCCTTCTTTACCCAGAACGAGGCCCAGGCACAACCTAAAGCCACGGGGCCAGGCTGAGCCAGGCTTAGGGGACAAGGGGACAGGGCAGCCATTCAGGGGCCGGGGCTTTGCCTCTGGCTTCACCGTTTCTGGCTGAGGCTGAGCCAGGAGCTCCCAGTCCGGCTCACCCTTCAGCTGCTGCCTGTAGCACTGGGCAGGGTCGGGGTCCTCCTCGGGGGGCTCCTCCTGCGGCAGGGCCGGGGGGGCCATCGGGGCCAGGCTGAGCCGCTTCAGTTGCGTGTTCTCCTGCTTCACCTGGGGTGGGATGGCGACCCCCAGCATCGGGGGTTTTACTGCACCACCGAGCCCGGTGCGTCGGCAGGGGATGTGCCGGCACCCTTGTAAGGGGCCACGGGCACCGGGGATGCTGGGGGGGAGAATGGCGGCAGGGGAGCACTGCCCGCCCCTACCTGGGCTGCGTAGGCTTCGGCTCGCTGCCGGCATGTTCTCGATCTC